GCGACTTTGAGGTCACATGACTACCTAATTATGCAAAATACCAAATATCAATGTTCCTCGCGTAGGCCAACCTATTGCTCGCCCCAACACACAAAAAGAATTTCGAAATAACCTCTTTTAGTATTTTTTTTGAATTATTTTAAAAATTAACTTTTTTCGTTAAAAAAAGTCCCAGCACAGGTGGTGCATATACCTACAGCAGTGAAAGGGCTAAAGCTAATCTTTCTACAGTGCAATTTCCTTCCTGTACTAGCCTGCAGCCTAAGTAAGATGATGGTCATCAGAATCTAAGAAATCACCCTACGGGCACCATAAGCATGAAAAAAGTGGAATATTTCAACCAACCTCTTCTTCGAACTCATTGAGTTCATCCAATGCAATTTCAAATTCTTCGTGATCCATGATTAGACCATGAAGAAATTACTTTAGTAAACTAATTCCTCCAATGATTAGACCAGGGAACAGTTAAATTAAATGGAATGATCTCGGCTTGCCAAGGCTTGCTAATTTCGATTGAGTTCCTATTGTTCAAGTCAATTAACTTCACTGCAACTGTGTTCTAGTTCTTTGACCATAAACGCGCGGTACCGACAGTTCCATTGACAGTTCAGCAACAAGTTGCTGACGTTGGTGGTGATATTTTCATACTTGTTGCAGAGCCATAGATAGAAAGAGTTGCGACATTGAGAATTTAGAAGCCATTTTGTTTCCAACACGATGCCCGTTCTGTGTCTAACGTGATGTGCGTTCCTGTGTATAATATTGTATCATAGGCGTAGATCCCGGGGGATGGGGATATATCCCCCCCAATATGTGACAAGGGGGATGGTCCATTGTATCATCCCCCCCCCCAATATTTTGACTATGTATGGGATAAAATGGAACTTTACACACTTCAAAAGACTGTCACAGAAATAATTTGCACTGTCTTATGCGCTTACAAAGATGAAAATTAGCATAATGTATTAATGTTGATAACAAAATTATTTTATCTGGTACCAATCTAAGCTCTTCTTTCCTTAGATGTTAGATGTGCTTGCAAAGAGAGCAGGGACGTAGCCAGGATTTTGAAAAGGGGGGAGCCGTTATGCGAATTACGTATGACCCCGGCGGGGTCAAGGGGACGAATCACCCTGTGAAGTAGCGCACTCTGAACGTTCTTAGGACTGTTTGAGATGATAAGGTGAAAATTGCAATAGACGCATTATAAATAAGCGCAAAAATAATTATATAATAAATCAACAATGGCAGATCCAGGAATTCGAAAGAGAGGTGAAGCAGGGAGGAACTTTCACAGACCGAGGAACCACCCACCTCAGCCCCACCATGGTTGGGGCTGAGGTAAAAAAAATTATGATTAGGGCATCTCTAGATGGCCGGAAATTACATTCTCGCACTTCAATTTGAATATATTTTTCTTTTTTTCCCTTAAAAAAAACGAAGTGGGGGTGGGGGCCTTGAATCCACCTCTGCTCAAAACATTCTTTATCCAGAATAGTCATAATCACGAAAAATGTACATGAAAAACCAGATCACATCCTAAAAACAAACAGCAGTCACTAAGACATACATCAGGTCATACCCGGGGAAGGGCACAGATCTGTTTTGAAAAGTGGAGGGGGAGGTCATTTTGTGAGTCGACACCCACCTCAGCCCCACAATGGTTGGAGCTGAGGTGAGAAAATAGTACCTCTAGATGGCCAGTAATGACACTTTTAGTAAAATTCATCATCATCACTACACCATTAGTCAAAATGAAGCGCCAAAAAAAAATTCTCATGATCTTTTATCATGGATTTTTGACAACCATCGAGATCTTATTAAGGTGTGTGTGTATACCATAGAAAACAAAGCTTAAATACATTGTGTTCGAGTATGTACTTTACATAGGCCTACTTCAAAAACGTGATTTCACAACCACCTCAACCCCACCATGGCTGGGGCTGAGGTGAGAAAATTTGAGGAAATAGTACCTCTCGAGATGGCCGGAAATAACACTTTTATATAGTAAAATTCATCATCATCACATTACCATTATAGTCAAAATGAAACGCCAACAAATTTCTCATGATCTTTT